TCAAAATAAACCTGCTTCTTATGACTTCTGTAACATGTTTTGAATAAAATATTATCAGTAAAAACCTCAAATCATGTCCTGTCTAATAATTAGAACTCTCTTGTAGACATAAAGGATAACATTTAGAAAATGCAATTATGCAACTATCAAAAAAACTTCCTCTCAGTCACTGAAAATACTTTATTTACCACATTTTAAAGACGTATTATTATCTGGGCCCTTAAGGGTTAATGCTCCAGAACGGTACTGTCTGTCTGACCTGCAGTGTGTGTGTGTGTGAGACAGAGGAGAGGAGCTCCATGTTTGAGTCCAGCAGGACCTGTACAGCAGCTGATTCTGTCTGGATTTGAGTTCACAAACTACTCTGGTTACTTTTTCAAAGTTGAGGACCATTACAGCTGCACTGCCGATCAGAGCTATTTATAGAACATGAACGGAGTCGCAGGAACCTGGTCCCACGCGGGGTCTGTGTTGGTGATTTTAAATTATTGATAAGGTAACAAACCTGTCGCATTTTCTTTTAAAGAAAGAAAAAGTACCTTGCAAAGCTGTCACATCGGTGCAACGTGATTAAAAGCAGAGTTTTCATCGCGCGCACACACACCTTCCTATCTTTGTGAGGACCACACACAGCACTCAGCCTCGCTCTGCGTCGTCTTTTTCCCCAAGTTTGGTGAGAGGTGGATATGGAGGGATGCAAAAAATAGCTCTGGACTTGATCTGGCCTTATTTAAATAAAAATGACTACATGCCGTGAAATTCTTAGAGGGGCGGGCAGTCTTGTTGGCGGGGGGCGGGGCTCCTGTATAATGGTAGGGGAAACACTGGAGATGATGCTTCTGACAGATACCAAGTGTTTCCCATCAGATAAATTGTAAAGTGTCGTTTTCACATTGTGGTAAACATTAAAACCAGAAATCAGCCTGTGTAGTCTTCAGCTCTGACTGTACAGAGACATGAACTCAACCTACTTTGATCACATTTCAAAGTCTGCTTCAAGGTCTTGCAGTTTGGTTTAAAAGCCTACAACTTCCTGCCACATTAAATTTAACATTTCAGAGTCCAGACCCCTCAGCCTTCAACAGACCATCAAACACACAGTACCTGAGGTGCTAGGAGGAGAAAAATACACATCTATAATTCTGTTACAGCAAAAAGCTCAACTGTAAGTTAGACTCTACTGTCATTTCCTAAATGGAGACTGAGAACTGAGAGGCCACAGTGTGTCTTACTTCTTCTTGATGTTTGGACACAGTTTGAGGACGTCCTCCTTGCAGGCAGTCTTGAACTTGTAGGAGAAGCGGAAATCTTTGATCTGAATCTGCAGATAAGCAGAAAGAGGATGACCACTGATTATTTATCAGTTCGACAGAAAGTTTTGATCCATCCCTACGTCCCCGTCTTATAGCCGTTTCTCTGCTTCAACACACCTGATGCAAATAACTGAATTACATGCTCAAAATGTCACCAACTTTAGCAGACGTCTGACTCGTTCTGTTCAGTGAGGTGTACTGAAGCAGGGAAACATCTAAAACGTGCAGGACAGTGTGGGTCACAAGGACCAGGACAGTTTCTTTCTCCAATAACACTACAAAAAATATATATTTTGGCTCCAATCTTGAACAGTAGGATAAAGTATAGACTCTTTGTCCAGCTTGAATAATGTTGAAGTTATGATCGGGCAGAATATTGTTGCAAATTGACAAAAGACTACAGCCTCATAACGTCTGGTTCAGGCAGCAAACAATATTTATTCCTTCAGTGCAGCTAGGCCATTCATTAGAACCAATTTCTCTTCTATTTTTGCTCACATTGTTAAAATGTGTTTTCATGTTCTCACCAGCTGGAAGTGTGTGACTCCCACTGCACACTTCTCATTCATCTCCTTCTGGTGTTTGTTCTGAATCAAACACTCCATCAGATCCCCGGAGTCGATCTGGTTGTCGGCCACCTCCTGATAAAAACAGAGGAAAAGCATTATTCACTCTTAGCAGCACTAAATTCTCCTGTATGTCAGAAAAAATAATGTAAATGATGCTGTGTTTAAGTTTTAACCTGAAGTGTGCACACCTGTTTAACACAAAAGATTTCTTTAGTTGATTTGAAGCAAACATTTGTTTTGTTTGCAGCAACGAGTGAACACTAATGCTCTATTCTGACAACAGAGTGGCACAAAGCTCCGCCTATTTGTACATAGCTCCTCCCTGGAGCTCAGTCTGCAGCTGAGCTCCCGCCCCACAGAGCGCGCGCACACACACACACACACACACACACACACACACACACACACACACACACACACACACACACACACAAGTTCTGTTGAGCCTGTAATACAGTACCACCTACTTAAAAAGGTTGTTAACAGCATGAAGTATTGTTGTGAAGATGTGCTTAAGTGCAAGTGTCAGAAACGGTAGGAGGTTCTTAAAAAGACAGAGGCCAAGTTCAAAATGCTAAGTCAAATGTGCAGCATATTAGAATTGAACTATGTGCCTGTAAAATGCACAATACCCCCCTTTTATTATTCTGTTAGCACGTCTGAGATCTTTAAAACTTTACAAGATCTTATTTGAAAAACAAGAAAGTAAATCTAGAACGTCAACAATCTGCTTTAAAATGAACCAACTGAATATTCTGACTGAAAAGAATCAAACTTCACAACTAAAACTCGTTCAACATGTTAAAATAATGACAAAAATCATTTTATTCATCTAATAACTCGTCTGTTCAGACATAAATGAGGTTGACTCCAAGCTGAGACGGTTTGTCACCGGGAAACATGAATCTTACTCTGGAATGAAATCAGCATATTAAAGACAACAAATACTCACATGGCAGTAGGACTGAATTACAGGGTCACAGGCTCTCATCAGTAGAGCCTCGATCTGAATATCCTGAGAACAAACACAGGAAAGAAGTTCAGACAACATTTCATCTGATTTGTCAGCTGAGCTTAACCTGATGTCATCGTGTCAAAGTTAAAGAACACGTTGAACCTCTGCTTCCAGCTCGGTTATATTCGCCACCACTTCTCTGCAGTCAGGTCCCAGTTCCTCCAGATGGTCCTGCAGACACTCCAGTTCCTGACCGGCCTCGGTTTTCTCACTGCACCACTTCCCCAGGTCCGTCATACATCGCTTCTGCAGCTCGGGGTCCAGCTTCACATCCAGCGCCCTCTGGTGGAGGATCCTCTGCACTTCAACCTTACAGTCCCGGGACAGCTGGGGACAGCAGTGAAGGAGGGGACACGGTGTCACGTTTGGAAACAAATGAGACAACTTAAACTTCACCTAACACAAGAACTGATAACTATTGTATTCTACAATAGTGATTACCCCATTTAATGGTGGGTGTTAGACTTTATTATAACTAGAGAAATTTCATTTCCTGCGAAAATACTAGTGTGAATGCTTCATGCTGAAAACGTAAGCTGAAAGCTGCTGAAACTGAGCTGAAAATATTTAATAGGAAAAGTGTTTATGTGAGCTCACCTTAAAAAACTGAAAGAAGCAAAAAAAAAAACCTAACTTTGCAGAAAAACAGTAAAAAGAAGCACAAATCTAGCTGAAAACAGAAATAGCTAAAAGCTAAGAGCTAAAATAGCTGAATATAGCTGAAAACATCTGTAAGAAGCATAAATAGCACCAGGTAGCAATAAAAAGTATTAAAAGTACAAAAAAGCAGAAGAATAGCTAAAGTAGCATAATGAAGCTAAAATTAGCATAAAATAAGCTAAATGTAGCAGCCACAATTTGAAATTAGCACCCAGTTCATATAGTTATAGTTAAAAAAATAACTAAAACAGAAAAAAAGCAGAAAAAAGGCATAAAATTACATAAATGATTGTAGTAAAATAACTAAAACAGTTGAAATTTTCAGTAAAACAGCTAAAAAGTAGCTGGAAATTATTTAATTAGCATAAGGAGCACAAGTTTGCTAACCTTAGCTGAAAAAAGTTGTAATAGCTACAAAAAAATCTATATTTAGCTTAGAAAATCTAACTTAGCTAATAGCAGCTTTATTAGCTAAAATTTCAGCAAATAGTTGAATATAGCAAAAAGCATCTGTAAGAAGCATAAATAGCACAAAGTAGCAGAAAAAAGTAGAAAAATCAGAAGAATAGCAGAAAGAAGCAGAATTTTAGCTGAAATAGCAGAAAAAAAGCTAAAATTAGCAAAAAGGAGCTAAAATTAGCACAAGAAAGTGAAAAAGAGCATAACCAGAACAAAATGTGTAAGGTGCTGTAAAGATCTGAAAATATTTTGAATTATTTTAAGGTTGTTGAAAACAGCTCCATTCATGTTCAATGACAAAAAAGTGGTTAACAAAGTGAAATAGCTAAAAAAGTATAAATAGCTGAAATAACAAAAGTCACAGCACCTCTCACATGAATGAGCTGAATGTTTTGATAAATGAATTGTTGAAATAGCGCAAAAATTGTGGAACGAGTTAGATGCCAAAAAACGTACAGAAGAAAAAATGATTTCAATTGTGTGAATGCATTCACACAATTGTTGTGTAGGGTACAAACACATTGGTCTGCATTAACCCAGGGATCTAAATTTAACTTTACTGACAGTGATGCAGAAGAGACTCACCCTCCGTCCTTGCTCCACAGAACGATAAGCATGGCGATACAGACAGGAGAAAATGGCACCAGCCGGCATCATCTCGTTAGTCTCATTCCAGCTATGAGTGTGGCAGAGTCGAGACGCATCACCCTGACATTTCTTATACAGGATTGGGTCCAACCTGATGAACAGCACAGTGATCAAATATCATTACTATAGTCATTGTTAGAAACATTTTTGAAACATCTGCTGTACCAACTGTGTTCCTGCTGAAGAGGACATCTTACAACTTTATGACCATGAAATTAATTTAAATGCTTACTGATGGGAAAAAGTATAAACAAGTATTTTATATATCAAGATCCACTTATAACCTCATCTAGTCCTAACCAGAACTCAGAAAATGTGACAGCATGTCTTCCACTGGTGTCCCACAACTGGTCCTGGAGAGAACCTTCAGAGGGACGCATCGTACCCCTAAGGCTGAGCCTGGCCACCCTACAAAAGAATTTCATCCCAGCTGCTTGGATCCAGGATCTGGTTCTGTCTATCACGATACAAATCTCGTACAAGAGGGTTAGAAAACTCGTTCATCACAACAGACCTGAGCAACACCCTAAATACTGTAGACGAGGACCTGATCCATCACTCCAACCTATCATCCATCGTTCACAAGACTCCCAGATACCTGAACTCCTCCGCTTGAGGCAATCATCTCCGACCATTTTGTCTACTGAGAGCCATGGCCTCAAACACTCATCCCAGATGCTTCACACTCTGCCAATATACACTTTGTAGGACATGATCTGAAGACACCAACAGAACGAAAGATGAGTCCCGGAAGTTCCCAAACCAGACACCCTCCTCTCCACAACGTCTTGAGATCCTGTGCTTAAACACCACGGACAGGATCAGAGACGAGGGACAGCTCTGGTAAATTGCAATCGGTCCACACTTAGTCAGCACCTTTTTATCTTCAAGGTGCTGCAAAGATTTTTACAAAATTCTCACACAAAGCTTTCTTTGATTTACTTTTATATTTTCACTCAGAGATAAGCAGATTGGAGGCAGTGAGGGCTTGAATGATTTAAAGTGGTGGGGGACGGTCTGTGATGATCTAATAAGACAAAACTATAATACAGGGGGATTTGTGATACTGTTTTCAACATCAAGAGTTCTAACATTATAATCTCATTATGAATATACAGAGAAGTGAAAAGTAATAAATATGCATTTTATCACATAGTTCTCTTGATGACAGCAGTACCAACACATTAAAAGTGTAACAGCCTCAAAGTGGTAAACAGCAGAGACCAACCTGCCATCTTTATGAAATATTGGTACCATTTTCTGCATGAAGTAGGTTGTCCCAAGTCCCCCTGGTTTTAGTAGCTATTCACTTCTGAAGAGTGTGTTGTAAACGTTGCTCTTTTGAGCCATTTTCAGTTAAAGTTCCTCAAAGCAAACGCATTCATTTTAAAGTTCACCAAAATATGAACAGGTTGTTTTGAGCCTGGCAGAGTCCAACCCGCACCTGGGATAAGCTTGACTGAACAGAATGTAGACGCAGCTTTAGTTTTAACTATAAATGAAACTCATCTCTTTTAATCTCTCTTCTCTACATGTTTATTGTAATTGTTTCTATCAATAACGTTTTTTCTTTGTCTCTTCCAGAAGTAGGTGCACCTGGACGAGTTCTGTGTTTGCATCTCTTTCCTGTCCCCCAACCAGCCGGTCGAGGCAGATGGCCGCCTGTCCTGAGCCTGGTTCTRCTGGAGGTTTCTTCCTGATTAGCAGGGAGTTTTTCCTCTCCACCGTTTGCTCAGGATGGGAGACTGTGATGAAGTGATTCAACACAATCTGCTGGCTTCTTCTTTAGATTTTTTTTTCATGTACAGTGCCCTGAGACAACTTATGTTGTGACTTGGCGCTATATAAATAAACAGAATTGAATTGATATTCAGTTTGAGGTACTCTGGAACCAATACATTTGACCCACAAAATCCCTTGTAGAACACAATCATAAGACTTGACCATGATCATGGACTTGACAAACTCTTAAGACCCTTTCAAGTAAAGAGCTGGTCCATAATTCCTTGCCCAAACAGAAACACTGGATGTTCTGAAACCAGGGTTCAACAATCCGTTAAACCTCATGGGTTTTCCTTTCCGACACCCTAGAGTAAGTTTTCCTTAGACGACCAAGTCGTGTCATCTCCAACAGCTGAAACATATTATGTAGCCCCTCTTTTTTAAAACTGAGACCACCACTCCTGTCTGCCACACCACGGGTGTTGCACCAGACCTGCATGCAACAACCAAGTTGGATGTCAACCATGACAGCTCCACAACGTTCTGAGCATCTCAGGACCATTCTTGCTCATTTCTGTCCTGCTTTTGGGGCATGTTTTAAAACCTCATGGTCTCTATCACAGCAATGGATTCACCATCCATCAAGTCCTCAGACTCTTCCATCTCAGTGGCAGACATGGTGACTAGAGATAATCTGTTTCATCGGTCGACACATCAGCCAATGACTGCTCACATTTTTAGTACTGGCAATCAGTCAAGTTGGCACATACTTCAAACAGGCATATCTGTGTGCAGCACACCACTGTAGCTGCTGTTGCTCTTTTGTTCTGCCTTCCTGTTATTGTCCTGCCATGACCTTTAACCTGATAAATGAAGGCTGATTGTACATCAGCTCCATTGTAACAGGTTTCCTGAAATAAAACCAGCCTGCGACACTAACAGTAACTCAGCTTACTTCCAATCTCTGGCGATGAAGTACTGCAGCTCCAGAAGTCTCTGTTCACAGTCCTCCACCATCTTCTCAGTGTAGAGATGCTCCATCAGACAGGACAGGATCCTGCAGTGTGGACGACATCATCATAATCATCATCATCACTGTATTTACATCCATGCAGAAAATCCAAAACTGCTTTTCTTGAGACTTTGTGTGACCCATTAAATCAAGCCAAATATTAGGTGTCAAAGTGGTGTGTATATATTGCAGCTATGGTGAATTGGTTGAAAATTTTAAAATATGATCAATCAATAGCTTTATCCTATTATCACAAGGCATTCATAATTATTTGTTATTATAGGCCCTTAAGTTAAAAAAAAATTATTCAAGTATTTTTCTGAGCCGTACCAAAAAATTACAATTTTGAAAAGAAAATACCTTAATTTTGCTACTTTTCCTGAGCACTAGAGAAGCTTTTTTTCTTTCCACATGGGAAATCCTGATATCCAAATATAGATTGAGGTTTACTCTTTCAAATGACATCAAGGTCTTCATTTGAATACATAAAAAAATTTAAATTTAGATTTTTCAGGAGTTATCCAGACAAATCAAGCCATATCAATGGAAATGCTCATGAAATCAGGGTCTAACACCAAAATGAAGCCAAAAAACAAATATAGGATCTGAAATCTGAACATGTAATTTAGTTTAGTTTGACCAAGCATGACCATGTGACCATATACATCCAAGTACAGCAGAAAATTCTTATGAAGTTTTAATCATTTCATTTGGATTTTAGCAGAAGTTGCTAAATGCTTTCAGTTTAATTAATTTGTGGACCTGTAATTAATTACAGGTTCACAATTTGTTGAAGGGATGCATTTCACCCAGTTTTGGACTTATGTTGAAAAATGGTGAAGTAAATTACATTTCTGTCAAACCTTGTAAATACAATTTGGCATAATCTCATGTAATGATGTTCAGTCTCCCAAAATCTTTTAGGGCTCAGATTACGTGTTGAGATTTAGCGTTGGGCGACAGGACAAATATATCAGCCATCAGCCACTGGACTGCACGTGTTGAATGAAGCACCTTGGATAATCTCCAGAAATCAATTTAAAGGGTAATAAAATAATTGCTGATGTAATATTTTCCCTATAATTATTACRAAAACACAAAATAAGTCAAAATAAGTATTTATATTTGTGTA